TCTACCACTAAATGGAAACAAAACGAAATGGTACCTTTACTAGTTTTGCAACCCCACTCTGAGCCTTTATATACCCTTTGGGCCCTGTTTTTGTTTGTAATGGCTTGTAAGGGTCCTGGAGAGCGAAAACGGTTTTCCCCAATAAAATTTTACATTAGTTGCACTTGTGTCCTTTTATTTTTCATGGGCTAGGGGTGCATGACCATTTAAAAGAATTTTAAAATTTGAAGTGTTCCCTTTTAAAAATCCAAAAGGGGCAAAATGAAAAATAAAAAAAACGGGTTTAAGAACCCTTTCTTGGCCATTTATAAGCTGGCGCCCCTCCTTAAAAGGGTTAATTTTTACAAATAGAGGGATTGAATTAAAATTTTTTTCTCGAATTTTGATGGTTTTGGTTTTTTCTTTCATAAATTTTCTATTTTAATTAAAATTTTCTAAGGGTTTGGGCAGTCATTTGGTTGGCCAGCCCCTTTCCAAATTATTATATAAAAATATATACACGTATATAGATAGATACTGTAGGTAGTAGGTTGGTAAACAGCAACCACCCAGGGAGGTACCACCATCCTGCAAGTGAGTGTATAATGAAAGCCTATGATTGTTTTACATGATGATAGGATTGCTGGTGTCTTTTGTCTGTCTCATAAACATGCAAGATTTCAGGTACGTCTTGCTACTTCTACTTACACTTAGGTCACACTACACATACATGTACAAGCATATGTATATACACACCCCTCTGGGTTTTCTTCTATTTTCTTTCTAGTTCTTGTTCTTGTTTATTTCCTCTTATCTCCATGGGGAAGTGGAACAGAATTCTTCCTCCATAACCCATGCGTGTTGTAAGAGGCGACTAAAATGCCGGGAGCAAGGGGCTAGTAAACCCCTTTCCCGTGCATATTACTAAATGTAAAAGAAGAATCTTTCATTTTTCCTTTTGGGCCACCCCGCCTCGGTGGGATGAAAGAAAGAAAAGATATCGAAAGCATGACACCAAAGATATAAATAAATACACATTGGTAGTTATTGTATAGTGTAGATGGAATACATTACAAACTGAAAATTTGGTCAGAGTTATTCTTAAAGTCAATAAAATTGAGAAAAAATCAGGCATCTTCTTCAAAACCTAACATATTTTTTTGGAAAGACTGCTGTTTATCATTCATTTTACTTAATTTCTTAATTGTAATTCAATTTAATTTCCATGTTGAGGGCCTCCCAAGGTCTAAATCCAGCCCTGCATAATATAATACAGTGGACCCCCGGATATCATCCAGTGCGGAAATTGGCTAATTTGGAAATCAAGCACTTTTTTTGGCGAAATTTACCCCCGGATTTCATCCATCCACTTGGAAATCATTGGTATGAGATGTGTCCACCATCTGGCAATGCACTTCCTCACATGTATCACACTCAGTCTGCGTGTATCTTCTCGTTGGGTTAGGAATACTCCGTGCGTTCATCTATTGTTTTTGGTGCTTGTTTATTGATTGCAACTGTGAGATAAACCACCACGGGGCCAAAGGAAGTTCAGAGTGCCAGCCCTTTGGTAAAGAAGGTGAGAAACACTATAGGATTCAAGAAAGAAGTTATTACAAAATATGAAAGTGTTGTAGTGTGGTGGAGCTGGCTAGGATGTATGGGAAATCTACTTCAACAGTCAGTTTCATCCTGTTGAAGAAAGCAGAAATCAAGGAAGCTGATGTTGCAAAAGGTGTAAATATGCTAACAAAAACAGAGGTCTCAAACAATTGAGAATGTGGAGAAGTTGTTGTTGGTGTGGGCCAACAAGAAACAATTAGTGGGAGATAGTGTTTCGGAGGGGATAATTTGCAAGAGAGGAAGGCAGTTGCATGCAGATCTCATAAAGAAAATGCCAGGAATGAGTGCTGTTGTTAGTGAATTTAAGGTCAGCAGAGGCTGGTTCGACAGATTCAAGAAGCGTAGTGGCATACACAGTATTGTAAGGCATGGCAAGGCTGCAAGTGCTGACAAATGTGCGGCCGAAGCATTCATTGATGAATTCAAGGGGTACGTAGAGGCTGAAGTATTCCTTCCCCAACAATTGTTCATTTGTGATGAAACAGGCCTCTTTTGGAAGAAAATGCCAAAGAGGACCTACATCATGCAGGAGGAAAAGGCATTGCCAGGACACAAGCCTGTGAAAGGATAGGTTAACTCTTTTGTTCTGTGGTAACGCTAGTGGGGATTTCAAAGTGAAGCCTTTACTCGTGTATCACTGAAAATCCCCAAGTGTTCAAGAAAAACAATGTCATGAAGCGTAAATTATGTGTGATGTGGAGGGCTAACAATATGGCATGGGTCACGAGGCTAATTTTCATTGAGTGGGTCATTGAAGTGTTTGGCCCGAGTGTGAAGAAATACCTCCTGGAAAGTGAATTTCCACTTAGTGCCTCCTGGTAATGGACAATGCTCCTGCTCATCCTCCAGACTTGGAAGACCTGTTGTTTGAGGAGTGTAAGTTCATCACAATGAAGTTCTTGCCCCCTAATACCACTCCTCTCATCCAGCCATGGACCAGCAGGTCATTTCAAACTTCAAAAAGCAGTACACCAAAGCATTGTTTCAAAGATGCTTTGAAGTGACCTTGGACACTGAATTGACCCTAAGAGAGTTCTGGAGGAATCACTTCAGTATCCTCCATTGCATAAGCCTTACAGATAAAGCTTGGCAGGGAGTGACTTCTAGGATTTTGAACTCTGCTTGGAGAAAATTGTGGCCAGAATATGCCCTCGACAAGGATTTTGAAGGGTTTGAGGCTGACCCTGACAACCCTACGCCTATTGTGGAGTCTATTGTGTCTTTGGGGAAGTCCATGGGGTTGGATGTGAGTGTCGAGGATGTGGAAGAGTTGGTGGAGGACCACAGGGAAGAGCTAACCACTGAAGAGCTGCAACACCTTCAACAGGAACAGCAACAGACTGTAGCTGAAGATATTGCATCAGAGGAGGAAGAGAGGGGGAAAATGTGCCTTCTTCAGTGATTAAGGACATTTGTGCAAAGTGGAGTGAGGTGCAAAGTTGTGCAGAGAATTATCACCCTGACAAAACTGTTGCAAGTTGTGTCTGCAACACGTTCAGTGACGATTTTCTTGTCCCATTTTAGGCAAATTTTAAGAGATGCCAGAAACAGGGCCCTCGAGACAGATTTTTTGTGCGACTGGGGTGCAGTGACTCTCAAGCTGGTCCTAATGACAGTAAAAGACAAAGAAGGGAAGTAACCCCAAAGAGGGCTTCGATACCTGAAGTCCTTAAAGGAGGGGGATTTCTCTTCCAAACAATAAACTCTCCTCCCTCTCCCCTCCTCGCCTTCTTCCATATTCCAACAAGAGTCTTCAATAAAGGTATGTAATGTTCATTTATTATTAAAATTGCTGCTTTATATTTCTTTCTCATTGTTTTCTGTATGTAAAAATAGGTATTCTTTAAAAAATGTATTTTTTTTTTTTTAATATTTTTAGGTGTCTGGAATGGATTAATTGGATTTACATTACAGTATTTCTTATGGGAAATATTACTTTGGTTTTTGGCCATTTCAGATTTAGGCCAGACTTCTGGAACAGTTTATGGCCGATAACAGGGGGTCCACTGTAATAATATAATATAATAATATCTATATTTACTACAAGTATAAGTACATGTCCTGGAGGGAATGGTACCAAACCTCCACACGAAAATCACTCCCTATAAAAGCAGAAGACTTAACATGAGATGCAACATTCCCTCATTGAAAAGCAGGGGCACCACAAGTGCACTTGAGAGAACACAATAAGTGTCCAGGGCCCAAGACTATTCAATTGCCTCCCAGCATACATAAGGGGGATTACCAATAGACCCCTGGCTGTCTTCAAGAAGGCACTGGACAGGCACCTAAAGTCAGTATCTGACCAACTGGGCTGTGGTTTGTACATCAGCTTGCGTGCAGCCAGCAGTAACAGCCTGGTTGATCAGACCCTGACCCACCATGAGGCCTGGTCTTAGACCGGGCTGCAAGGGCGTTGATCCCCGAAACCCTCTCCAGGTAAACTCCAGGTACATGGTATACAGGCCTATCTGACATCAATAACATGCTACTATTTAGAAAGCTGCTTGATATGTTAAGCATTTCGGGCAAGTTAGGTTAGCTTTGTCCCAGGACGTGACCTACGCCAGTCAACTAAAACCCAGGTATCCATTTTGAACTGATGGGTGAACAGGGACAGCAGGTGTCTTATGGTAACGCTTCCCTAATGTTTTCCAGCCATACTGGAATAGATTCAAACCCCAGACCTCAGTGTGTGAACTGAGCGCACTAGCGATCGAGCTACGGGACTGAATATTTTTGATACTTTGTCTAGTCTCTCATCATTCCTTGGATTGTCTTATGTAGTTTGCCCTTTTTACTTTGACGGTACAGTTCTCACTATATGCTTGGTGTAAGGAATCTCATTAATGTCTTTTAAAGTCTAGGGGAACACTTACACTCATGGTAAGTCCATCCCAGTTTCTGAAAACTTATTCCTTCTGTCAGAATAGGTTATTTAAAACACTGTTCTACAAAAAATAATTATATACACGTATATTCAATGGATAAGTATTTACAGCATATACATGTTTTAAGTAGTTTGGCTTAGCCTTCCACCACATGGGCATCTAATCACATGGTATCATCTGAAACAATTATTACTCCTTTCTCCCTTGTGGCCTTAACCCAGTGTTTTGACACATTGGCAGTTGTGGCCCCTAGCAGTTTAATATAATTAGGTACAAAAAATGAGTCTTTAACTGCTACTTAAGTACATAATACATTTTGGGTCCTATAACCCCATGACATGTTATCTTCCTGTTTCTTTTACTAGTATACTTCTAACAAAACTTATTGCTTTTTCATAGTCCTCTGTAGCCTGGTTTCCTATGTTTGTGTATCTGCAGTTATAGTAGTTAAACCTTGGTCCACACATATATGTCTGTAATCATAATGTAAATTTCATGTATCCACAGCATTGGAGATAGAAAGGAGCTGCGGTCAAGGCTGAAGTGTCGTGGGTTTGGCTGGTACCAGAAGACCATCTACCCAGAACTGGCCACACCTTCCAGACATGAGCTGGCCTATGGTCAGCTTCGCCAGCGTAACCTGTGCCTCCAGGGACCAGATTCACCTCCTCCAGACCAGGTGAGTGGGTGGCGCAAACACCCTTTTCTTCGTAGCCAAGTGGCAAAGGTTTCAGACAAGATCATTAGCATATTGACAGTGCAAAGATCTCCCAAAAGGTAGTTTTCTTGCCGTACAGCCCTGTTTCATCCCATGTCAGACACAATTAGACATGGACCACATATTGACACTCTGTAGATGACTCTATACTCAGCAGTGAATCACATAAGCAAAGAACATTTACTGTAACTTTTAAATACCATATTACTCAAGGTGCAAGATCAACTTTTCACTATTTTTTTCAGCTCATTGAATTTTTTTTCATAAAAAACAAGATTAAAACTTGTGTTGTTTATTAATAACTTTTTAAAGTTGAAGTCACTACAAAACATAAAACTACCATAAAATTCTAACATTTTTTATTAATAACTTTTGAAAGTTAAAACAAATCACTACAAAACATAGTTACAGTAGTACTTAACCCTTTCAGGGTTTCAGACGTACTAGTATGGCTTACGCACCAGGGTTTTTGACGTACTAGTATGCCTAAATTCTAGCACCCTCAGATCTATTGAGAGAAAGCTGGTAGGCCTACATATGAAAGAACGGGTCTATGTGGTCACTGTGCACAGTATAAAAAAAATCCTGCAGCACACTGCGTAATGAGAAGAAAAAAACTTTGACCGTGTTTTTGGATTAAAATAGCGACTTTGCACTGTATTTTCATATGGTATTTATTGTATTCTAGTTTTCCTGGTCTCGTTTTATAGAATGGAAGGCATATTACAGAAATTGAGATGATTTTGACTAGTTTTACAATGAAAAGTACCTGGAAATTGAGCTCAAAGTAGCAGAAATGTTCGATTTTTACCAAAGTTCAAAAGTAAACAAATCATGCTAAGCGTCCAATACACGTCAACTGGTGAGTCTAATATTCTTTCACAAGTGCGCCGATATTATTTATACCATTTCTACACTAATGCAGTAGTCTGTATAACAGTAAATCTTCTATTTTTTGTGAGAATAAAAATTTGAAGTGGAAAGCAAAAGAATGTAAGAGGGGCCTGGGGATGTGACTAATGAACAGAGGAAATGTTATTTTAGTGCCAGGAATGTCTTTCTTGTTTATTCTGGACCCTATTTGGAAATTGGCATCTTTTGAAATTTGTGTGAAATTGGCAAAATTGCTAAATTCTGACCACTGTATTGGATAGTTGAAATAGGTAAATGGGTGGTTTCTTGTACTCGATAGAAAAAATGAAGTTCTAGCGAAATAGCTATGATTTTTGTCGACTAGTGCACTGGAATTGGCCAAAAAGAGGGCTCAAAGTGGGCAAAATAGCCGATGCGCAAACATCGTCAAGACCGCATGAGAACATAATTCCATAAGTTTTTCATCAGACTTGTTCTCAGGCGACCCTGAGAACAAGTCTGGGAGAGGGCCTGGCGACCCTGAAAGGGTTAAAAGAATAACGAGATATTGCAGGACTATTGTGGTGGCCCGGTGGTCTGGTGGCTAAAGCTCCCGCTTCACACACGGAGGGCCCGGGTTCGATTCCCGGCGGGTGGAAATTCCGACACGTTTCCTTACACCTATTGTCCTGTTCACCTAGCAGCAAATAGGTACCTGGGTGTTAGTCGACTGGTGTGGGTCGCATCCTGGGGGACAAGATTAAGGACCCCAATGGAAATAAGTTAGACAGTCCTCGATGACGCACTGACTTTCTTGGGTTATCCTGGGTGGCTAACCCTCCGGGGTTAAAAATCCGAACAAAATCTTATCTTATCTTATCTTATCTTATCTAAATTCACATTCATTTCCTCCCCGAAAAAGTAAAACTGTATATACATAACTGACAACATAGACATGCACAACATATCTTCCTCTATTTTCATTATATATATATATAATAATATATATATATATATATATATATATATATATATATATATATATTATATATATATATATATATATATATTATATAATATATATCTTTATATATATATATATATTATATATATATATATATATATATATATATATATATATATATTTATATTTATATTTATATATAGGGTACCACCTCTAGAACTGTTATAGGGACCCTCATCCTCAGAGAAAAGAATAAACTTGCTTCAGGGAAAGCTCAAGGTTCTCCTGAAGCTGTTTGAGAATTTTCTCCTACCACCCCCTGTATTTTATATATATTTTATTTAAAGACAAAATACATTGACAAAACATTCACAAAAATATGATAGAAAGTAAAACAACATAGGTAACTCAGAGCTACATCTCGAATACTTCGTCCAGCTCCCCGGCGGTGGGCCGCGTCCCCAAAATGCTGCGGGCATTTCCTCTCTGGATTGCAACACTGAGTCTCTGAAAGAGGAAAGTGGTCGCCCTGTGGTCCTTGGTTTCTTTGATGAGCTTTTCACCCAGCTTGTTAGGAACTTTAGAGCACACTTGCCCCATGCTCCAAGGGTCTCGACCCTATTGGGATGAAAGTTTTAGCAAGTGGGAAGGTCTTCATATTTGCGGATCTTTGGGTCTCCCTGTGGCTGGCGCTCCACCCCCTTCCACTACGGAGTATGGCAAGTAGGTGTCTGCAATGTGGCGGCACATGTGTAGTCCCTGGCAATCTGCTTTCCACCTTCCAAGGTAGCATAGTGGCTCCATCAGGACGCTTTTGACTTCTGTCAGCCCTCTGCACTTGGGTTCCCATTGAGCTGGGCAACGGGCTGCGGCGAGGCTTCTCTTTATGATGCCATTGGGACTCCTCATGCCTGGCATACTTCCCTTCTGCTGTGTGACACACGAGACCATGAAGTCCGAATTGATCAGCTGTCGCCCTGCCGCAAATACACCTATGTTCGGTGAGGATGGGGGTGGCTAGGCAAAGAGCAACACCAATCCGAATGGCCTGTGGGTCTAGTCAAGTGCCCAAGGAGGAATTGGGAACAGCTAACAGGAAATCTCCTGAGTGTGGTGCCTTCACTGTCAGGAGACGAGCTTTATCCTTTCCTGAGGCGTTGGAGAGCATTGTGTTGGTGATTTTTTCTATGATCGGTTTGTCCCAGTGGGACTGTTTGTGTTCTTTGGGAGGAGCTGGTCTACTGGAGGAATCTGTAAGGGTGTCCCACAGAATCACTGCTTCAGTAAACCTGGGGTCTTGAGCTCCTACCACGTCTCTCAAGCGTTCGGGAACAATCTTCTTGACTAATGCACTGAAAGCCAAACACGAAGACAGAAAAGCAGGTAAAGCAACATGCGTTGTTTTGTGCCCCCCTATACCTCCCAGTCGCACTGGAGGGTTGCCTGATCCATTGTGATCCCCTAGTGACAGGTTCAGTGCCTTCTTAAGGGTTTGGGCCTCAGGTGTGCGTCATATTCGTCGAGTGTTGGGTTGTCAAAAGGGGGGTGCACAACTAGGAAGTAAGTGAGTCTTGGAATAGTAAGGCACTTTGTGAGGAGATACAGAGCATCATGGGCATCAAGATTGCTTATTCTCTCCTCCATTCTCATCAGGTTTATTCAATTTTTTCCTTGAGGACTGTGTCGATGGCCTGGTGACCAGTGGTGCTCCCAAGTGGTACTGTTGGACAGAGTGGTTTGTAGAGACTTCTGGGAGGATTCTTCGCACAGCATTGATTATTTCCTGGTTCGCTGCGATGATTTCACAAATTGGAGGGATTGAGGATGAGTCCCAAGTCTTCTCCCTGTGTTTTCACTAGTTGTAGGTCCCTACCAGGGGTCTTCAGTACCTGCCAGAGTGCCCTCATCCAGGTACCAGATGTTGAGCTCACTGCGTAGGCTGGAAGTTAGTTCTCTTACTGCCAAGCAGAAGAGAAGTGGAGCTAGTGGGTCACCCTGCTGAAAAACCCCTTTGATGAGAGAATTTAATGTTCTCCAAACAAAGAATTGAGGGTTTGCTGAAGCCGGCTGAGATGAAGGGAAAAAGGGCTGGGGAAGCGATCCTGAACAGCTGGCAAGACAGCATCTCTCTTTACCATATTAAAGGCATTTCTAAATCAAGTTTGACTGCAGCCCTTTTCTTCTGGTAGGTCCCAGATGTAGGCCCTTGCCGCATGAGCTGCAGCTTCACTGCCTTGAGGGACCCCAAAGCCCAGTTGGTGTGGCTGGAGTTTAAAATGGCAGCTTCTAGGCGAATGTTTCTTACTGCTGCTTTGGCAACGAGACGGCGACGAGTGTTTCCAACTGCATTGGGTCTGATTCCCCATCCTTCTTCTTAACCCAACAGTGAGGCTCCAAAAAAGAAAGGTTTAATTTTTTTCTGGGATTCGCCCAGCCAGGCAGTTGTTGACGAAAGTTGTTTACTCGGTGGGGAAGAAGTGATGCAGATGCACCGAGTACTGGATATATTTTTATTTTTATATATATATATTATTTTTATATATATATATATATTATATATATATATATATATTATATATATATATTTTATATATATAATTTTTACATATATATTATATATTTCATATATATATATACATTTTATATTATTAATATACCAAAATAATATCTTATATACATATACTTTATAATTATATATATATATATATATTTATATTTTATATATATAATATATATTATATATTATATAATATATTTATATATATTATATATATATATTTATATATATATATTATTTATATATATAATATATATATATATATATATTATATATTTTATATATTGTGGTATAAACCTTGGTAATAAATACCCACAAGTTGGGTTTTGAAAGACACGTAAGCAAACACTATAACATATTTATTAGAAAACGTTTCGGTCCTGGGACCTTGATCACTTCTAACATACAGAGGCAGAAAGACATTATATATATAGGCGGAGAGTGAGATGTGACGCACGTGACCTGAGGAATGTCCTAAGAACATAAGAATGGAGGAACACTGTAGAAGGCCTACTGGCCCATGCGAGGCAGGTCCTTATCAAAACAACCTCTACCTATGATGAGGATGGGTAGACAGTGAAATCATGTGACTCCTGTGTTGTTGGGTTGGTGCTGCTTAAGTATCATGTATTACCTGGAGTTTACCTGGAGAGAGTTCCGGGGGTCAACGCCCCCGCGGCCCGGTCTGTGACCAGGCCTCCTGGTGGATCAGAGCCTGATTTAGATTTCGTTCGGATTTTTAACCCCGGAGGATTAGCCACCCTGGATAACCCAAGAAAGTCAGTGCGTCATCGAGGACTGTCTAACTTATTTCC